TGATGAACCTGGTTGAAGAGCAGAAGGTGACCTATGGGGGTACTGTGGACATGGCCTCCTGATACATAGGTGTGGGCTTTGCCCTCTGAGCTTTGCCAGGCTGCCTGGTCCTTCAAGTTCCCACCAAGTCTGCAGCAAGCAGCACAGATATTTGAGAAGCAGGCAAAGCCCTCTGAGGAGTATAAATGGCTCTCACCACTGGGCTTGAGGGGCTCTGTGGCTCTCAGCAGGCAGGAGCTGAGCTCCCCTCCTAAGAAGCCCCCACTCCAGCCCCAGAACCCCACCTCCCACAATACCAGAGAGGGGCATTCTCTCACTGAGAATCAGCAGGGATGTGGTCAGTAGAGGCCACAAGCATCCCCAGTGTGCAGGCCGGGCTTACCAGATGGGGCCCCTTTGGACCCCAACTTCTTAAGAACACAGAAAAGCTCCAGGAGGGATGCAGGTGTCTGGAAGGTGCCGTGCCTTCCCCCTCGATGTTCAGACCTTCCTCACTTGGTGAAGCACAGTCCATACTTGTTCCCATGGTCAGGGATGTGCCTGGGGCCATGTGAAGAGCACTCCAGGACCACACCGCTGTCCCCCTGTCAGCTGTGCAGCCTCCCCTGTGAGAGAGTGGAAGCAGGAGCTGGACACACACTGACTGGGTGGACGGGGATCAGCACTGATTCCGGCTCCTTTTCCACCTCAGCCTCCACCAACCTCACAGACATGGACCCCAAGTCCCAGGTGATGCCAGAGGAGACATTTGGGCTGGAGATGACATCAAGTGTGTGCACAGCCTGGAGGAGGACATCCAGTTCAACAACTGGGGCGAGAAGCCCCTGGCTCTCTATGTATTCTCCACCAGTGACCCTGTGGGCCTCAGAGTCCTCCTCCCTGGGTCCTGGGGTCTTGGTCACTGCACACTCACATGCATAGAGGATCCAGGAGGCCTCAGGCATTTGGATTCAAATTGCAGCTTCTCAGTTCACTGGCTGTGTGACTTTCAGCAAGTCACTTAACATTTCTGAACTTTTTTTTTTTGGTCTCATCTCTAAGATCAGGACAATAGTGTCACTGAGAAGTTTGAATGAGGTGTTTATTGACTCAGTGCCCTCCACATGGCCATGAGAGCAGTGGCATCTCCTCTCTCCCCAAGGGGTGCTGAGAGCCATGTGATATTTAGGAAGGGCTGGAGATGATGGCTGGGGCTCTGGCTGCACCAGCTCGATCCTTGTGACTCTAGAATGTGCTGAGGTGGGGCAGTGAGGGAGCCTGAGGCATCCTCTGGGCAGGAGTGAAGGCCAGCAGCTGGGTCCTGAGGCAGGAGAGAAAGAAAATGATCAGAGACATGGAGCAGCAGAGTGACTGCCAGTGATGTCATTGTCCATGTGGCTGTGCAGTTCTTGACATCTGGCAGCAGAGGTGAGTCTAGGTCTGGGATCACTGCCTGCCTGCCTCCTCCGAGGCCCCCAGGGTCCCACAGGGTCACAAACCGATCTGCAACATCAGGGGGTCTTGTGGCTCCTACAACCCCGACCTTTGACTCTCATAAACCTCTCTGGTTTGGTCCTACTGCAGACTTACTGGGTCCTAGAGGTCTTCTAGTACACAGGCTTGTCCCATGGACAGTTGAATGGGAACAAGGTTTCCATTTGGAATGGTGAGGATATTGTTGACTAGATGGCGGTGAAGGTTTTCCAAAGTTACAAGTTTACTAAATCACACTGGGTTGTACCCTTCAGAATGGACAGAGGGTGACTATTACACGTGAATTTTACTTTAGTAACTCAGGGAGAGAGTTGAAGGTGAGCCATCCCCAGCCATGAGGGGTTTCTGAAGATCCCAACTCAGTCCCAAAGAGTAGAAGAGCTGAGGAAAGCCCTGATCATGGGACCTTCCCTGAACTCTCCCCTTCCTCCCTGGCTCTGCTCTGGCCTGAGAAGTCGCGCGCATCCACGCTCCACGCCCACAATTTTGAATGGGGAGCAAAAGGAACTGCTATTGGTCCAGCGGGTGGGTCTGAGCACTGATTGGCTGAGGCTGGCAACGGACCTGCAGGCGCGCAGAGAGCCGTTGAGGACTCGCTGTGTGGCAGTTCCCCAGCCCTGGGCTCAGTCAGCGTCTTGTCAGTGCCTGGGGAGCACCACAGGAGCGCCCTGGAGCCAGGTGCTGCTGTCCAGCCCCAGTGAGTGCCAGAGGTCTTGCAGGAGGCTGGGGAGGGGACCCTCCCTCTTAGTGCCTGGTCACTCAGGCTTGCCCAATTCACCTCTTGTCCCCGTCGGGTCTGGCTCCTCCTCTGTCCTCAGGGTCAGGTTCCTCAGTCCAGGGTTTCCTGAATTCTCCTGAAACACCCTCACTGATCCGTTGTACCCTGATTTCAGGCCTCTGGGTTCTGTTTTGAGTCAATGGATTTGCATTTAAAGCCCTCTTCGCCCCCACAGCCCCTGATCATTTCCAAAGAAATCATTTACCAGTGGATCTACTTCGTTGAAGCAGAATTGGGGATCTAGGGTCCTTAGCACCTTCTGTGACATCTTTCCTTTTCCTCATATCCCGAGAAGCCATTCCAGAGACTCTTAGAAACAGAAGAGTCAAAGCAGAGCGTGGCCCTGGGGTGTCCCATCTATCTTCGTGACTTTGCAGATCTGAACATGTCATCTCTGTGAGAACATTGTCCCCACACCTTGTGCGTGTGCTAACAATATCAAGCTTGGTTCTCATGATCACAGTGGCTGGACCCCACTGGATGTGTGCCGGGTAGTGCAGGGGTCAGTCCATACACAGAGCAATCTTTCCAGTGGGAATAGCCACTGCATCCTTGAGGGGAGTTGCTGGCCTGCAGAGGAGAGTTCCTCTGGGGGCCTTTCCTGGCTCTGGCTCCTCTCTCTTGACAGCCTGGTGCACCAAGTGGGGGCTGTTCTCATCTCCCTCTGTGGACTTGCTCTAGCCCTTGATTCCTGGCCCTGACCAAGAACTTTTTCTCTTAAATGAACCTATTTTTTTATGTGGCCAAGGCTGTTTCTCACTTGTTAGGTCCAGCTATCATTCTGATAGCCAGGAAGCAAAGGGGAAAGAGGCAGGAGTCATAATATCCCCTCCCTTTGCATGCTCCTACTGACCTCACTGTTTCCAGTAAGGACTCCCTGGGAGTGATTCCACCAAGTCCAGATAGTACCTCAGGCTGAAAGAGGTAAAACATTTGGGTCTTTGGGGGCACTTATCATATACCCTTGGCACTGTCTGCAGTGGCATCCATAGGCTACCATGAGAAGAAGACATAACCTGCCATGCTCCTTTTTTCCAGAACCACGACAATACTAAATATTTATGATTCTATCTATTTTTTGAATATTATAGAAGCAGTGAGAAAAACATCAGGAAACAGAGGAATATTCATGAGATGCTGATGTTGAGTAAGGAGCACATCAAGTAAGAATGAAAAATGCTTGAGCTAAAACGTGTATGACTTTTTTGCTTCTGTGATAATTGAATTTGGAAGTGCTTACTCCAGTTCAGTTCCTCTAAGGTGACTGTGGCAGAGAAATAAATGTTTCTTTTTTTTAGTGCATATTTCTTGAGTTTTGAGGATGAACTTGTTTATTGTGATCCAAGGTGGGGCTGCTCCACCCCAGGCAGATCAGCAGAGCCAAACAAAGCATGTCCTGGTGCATTCTGGCCTGCTTGGCTGTCCCTGTCCCACAGCCAAGGAGCATGGGCCAGCTAAATGGGGCCAGGCAGCACCTCAGTTGAGCTCTGCCTGAGGTAGGTTAGTTGAGCCTCCTGCTGCCAGGTGGCTGGTGCCTAACTCATGGAGATGTGCACTTTGTCACACCCTTCCCAGCTCTGTTGGGACAGTCCTGGCACTGCCTATTCCTGCTTTCCGCCCCAGTGGGCTGCCCGTAGTCTTTCTAAAATTAATTCTTTTTAGATATCTCAAAATACACTCTCCTGTCATTTGTATGTAAAAAGAATAGACAGGATAGTGTATTTTGAGATCATACATACATGAAATGTAACTTATTCTAATTAGGATCTTTTTCCTGTGGTTGTACATGATGTGGAGCTACACTGGTTTGTGTTCATATACAAGGAGAGGAAAGTTATGCCTAAGTCGTTGCACTGGCTTTCCTATTTCCATTCCCCTTTCCTTCCCTTTCTTCCCCTTTGTCAGATAATCTAATGAACTTCTATTCTTCCCATCTGCCCCCTGCCTTGTGGCTTAGCATCCACATATCAGAGAGAACATTTGGCTGGTTGTTGGGATTGACTTATTTCACTTGGTACGACAGTCTCCAGTTCCATCCATTTACCAGCAAGTGCCATAATTTCATTCCTCTTTATGGCTGAGGAATATTCATTGTGTATATAAACCATGTTTTCTTTATCCATTCATCTGTTGAGGGGCAGCTAGGTTGGACCCATAGCTTGGCTATTGTAAATTGAGCTGGTGCTGGTGTAAATATTGATGTGATTTTTGATGGTGGAATTCTTTCTCCTGAAACTTGACTGAACTTGTTCTAACAGTTTTAGTGGAAATTGTAGTATTTTTGATGAATAGGACTTATCATATGCCAACAGAGACAACTCTTTCTTCTTCTTTTTGGTTTGGTGCCTGTTATTTCTTTTTTGTGACTCACTCCTCCAGCTGGGACATCCAGCACTATTTGGAATAGAGGTTATTGAAGTGTGGGCATCCTCACCTTGGCCCTGATCTTAAATGAAAAGCTTTCATTTTTCATCTGTTTGATATAGGTTAGGGTTATTGTTACCTTGTGCTGCATTTCTTTTTTGCCATATTTTTGGAGGACATCCTATTGACATAATATGATTTTATCATTTATTCGGTCAGCATGGTTTGTCACATTAATTGTGTTTTTTGAAGCATTTTTGCATCCCTGGGATAAATCCCCTTGATCCTAGTATATGATTAATTGAATGTGCTGTCAGTTGGTTTACTTGTATTTTGTTATTTATATTTATGGAGGTATTGCTGTTGCTTTGTTCTAACTGCATTTGGCTTTGGCATCTCATAATTCTTTGCTTATAAAATGAATTTGGAAGTGCTTACTCCAGTTCATTTCCTCTAAGATTTTAAAGAGTATCCTTCTTAATTTTTTCTTAAGTGTTTGATAGAATTTACCAGTGAAGCCATGTGGTTCAGGACTTTTTGGAGAGTTTTTTTGATTATTAATTAATGTCTTTATTCATTATTGGTCTATATACCTGCTCTCTCTCTTTTTAATGATTCAGTATGGTAGATGTGTCTAATTTTACTCATTAATCCCTATCCTCAAATTCCTATGCCTAGGAAAAGTTTCATCTACTTTCTATATCTTTCAATTGACATATTCTGAGGATTTCATATAGATGCAAACATATAAAATATTTTTGGCATAATTTTTTTCAGTTTGCAAGAAGTTTTAAATCATGCCACGGGATGTGTCCCTGGTGGAGTAGCACAGGGGTGTTTTGAGGTTGTGCCTTTCATTTCAAGCTTGAGACTCTGACCTTCTAGCAACTTTCATGAGCAAGTTGCTCACAAAGGCTGAATGTGTCCTGCTGTTGCAGCTGAGAACTGCACCTGGCTCCTTCCCATTTAAGGTTGTCTCTAAATCCTGCTGAAGTTCCCATAAAGGAACTTCCCTGAGTGGAAAGGGGTTCCATGGCTGGATTTAGAGCCACCAAGCTCTAAACTGGGACCAATTCCTCTAATTTTCTGAATCTCATGAAGAGTCAGGCCACTTTTCTGTGAAGCTGAATTATGGAGCTGGAAGGGCTGGTACAGTTGTTCCCTGACCCTTGGTTCCTTACCAGGGACCACAGTGGCTTCCAGAACTGTGTGATCTAATCTTAACTTACCACTGCCCTTCTGTGCTGCCAGGCCTGCCTTCTTCATGAAGGCGCCAACTCCACAAAGAGACTTGAGTTGTGAAAACTGTGGCCAATATACTAAAACATGTACAATTTACTAGTCTTATAACATTATAGTGTCCTTTATTACCAAGTTGTTATAATTATTATAACAATAGTAAAGAACACACCGACCTGCACAGGATGGAGAGAACAGGAATGATGAATATCTCATGGGGAGGGCATAGTTCCATGACAGGAAGACTGTGTCTTTCATATTCTTAGTTCATGTTGAATTCTGCACTTTCTTCTTTTGTATTGTTTCATTTTTTTGGTGCTGGTGATTGAATCTAAAGGTACTGTACCAAAGAGAAAAACCTCCAGCACATTTTCTTTGTAATTTTTGAGTCAGGGTCTCACTGAGTTGCTTTTGGCCTAGCTGCTGTTCTGGGGCTGGCCCTGAACCAGCCATCATCTTGCCTCAGCCTCTGGAGTTGCTGGGATCACAGGTGTGCAACACCAATACAGGCCTGCAGTTTACTCTTAAGAAATATTAGTTTTTTTTTAGTAAATGCCCTTAACAATGAAACTCCAGAGTTTACTTTGTGTGTGTGTAGAAAGGGATAAAATTTAATAAATGCAGTTTTATATGATTGAATATTATTTTATAATAAAATTGTTTATCAATTAATTAAGAAAAAACTCCCCACTTTTTGCCCATGAGAGCATCATTGATGACTGGGCAGATCACTCAAGGTCCCTCTCATGAGTCTCTGTGGCCCTTTCAGTCTGTCTCACATTCTCCTACACAGGTGCATCTACATATATTTCTGGGGATGTTTAAATTATAGAAACATCCTTTTAAAACTGGTGATCTCAGTACAGACATCATGAATGCATCATTTTTTTTCAGGTAACAGATTCCTTGCCCCTTTGCCTGTGGGCACAGGCAGACCCACCTCAGCAGCTGCACAGGTTTCTCTGCAGCAGATTTCTCCACCAAAGACCTCCACATGGGTGATAGTGGGGGCTTCAGTTCCTTGCTGTTCCAACATCTTCTGTGAAGGAGTCTTCCAAAGAAATCTTGAAAAATGGTGCCAAGTCCATAGGTGGAATTAATCCCCAGCATTAGCCATGCTAGGTAAAGGTATACTCTTGTAGAAATTTGTTGGTTGTTGACAAAGAGTTCTGTGTCCATGGCCCCATCTCCCAGGGGATGCCTCCCACATGTTCACCAGTGCTGGCCATGAACCAGTCAGTGTGAAGGAGGCAAATGCTACCTCAGTATCGTGTGTTTTGTATGGGTTCACTGGGAGGTTGAATGTGTCTGACATTCTCTGCCCAATGGGGTGATTTCATTTTAAATTCTAGGAGTTTGTCTTTTGTCCTAGAAGGAAAGTTGACTCAGGAGGTTTGGGTATCCCTAGGAGCAGTAGTCATTTCCTTTGTGGCACCTGACACTTATGTCACAGAAAAGATGTTCCCAGCCCAATGTTATAAAAATATTTACTGTGGGGCTTTACTTTTTACATATAACTTTGACATATCTGGTTTTTCGACTTCTAACCAAACAAAAATGTAATCAATACCTTCAATATTATTTGGCCAATAGAAATCTTAGTGCACTGATGTGAAACAAACAAACAAAAAATCCGGGATAAGAATCTCACAGAAAGATGACCAGAGGAAGGGAGAGGGACTTCCTATGGGTAGAGGATGAGGAAATGTCTCTGGACCTAGACGGGTGATGGCTGCATGACATGAAGATGTACTTCACTGCACTGAACTAAGCATTTCAAAATGAGTAAAATGTTAAATTTTGATTAAAATTAAAACAAACTACTAAAATAAAAAGGAAAACAAATAAAATGGTAAGAGAGCGGAAAGGTCACTCTGAGAGAATGTTCAAGTAGCTCAGAAACTGGCACTAGCTGTGGATCCACTTGGAGCTCCAGTCCTGGTGCTGCTCCAGAAGTTTCTGCCCTGACTCTCTCTCTGATGGTCAAGGTGGTAATGGGACTGGAGCTTAAGCTTAAGGGGCTTTACCTAAGGTTTTCTCTAATAATTCCAATATTATGATCTTGAGTTATCCATCCAGGAGGTAACCGTACCAGCATTTCCATACCCACTCTGCCTATTTGTTTCTCCGTAGGAGATAATGAGACCTATAATCCAGGCAGTCCCTTCTGTTTTGCTCTTGCTAATAAAACTATTGTAGATAACTCTAAGAAGTCATATGTTGGGCTATCTCACAGACCTTAGAGTGATAGTTAATGCCACCTATAGCCACAGACTCCCCCATGGCAAATGCAAGAAACCCTTGCTGCCAACATACCCAATAACACTTTTTGGAAAGCCCCCCCTCAGGTAATGATGTCATCCCATAGAATCATTGTGTTACTGCCGTACCTTGTCTCCTTGATAAGAGGAATTTCTCTGGGGAAGAACAACATCTATGGGTCCTGGTAACCACCATCATTGCTACAGTGACTGTGCTGCTCCACAGTATCCAGACTGCTCAGACTCAAACAATTTGTCTACTGCCATGGCAGAAGCCTTTGCCATTTAAAATGACTTAAATAAACTGTCCTGAGCCACTATTGTAGTCATTTAGCAAGAACTAGGCCTCCACCAGGAACAACTAGATTTTCTGTTTATGTTGCAAAGGCTCATTTGTGACCTTGAATTCCATAGTATTTGTGTCACCAATATGCTGTGTCTAAAAATGTAACCTTACACTTCTCCAAATTTTCTCAGTATATTAAGAGTTCTTTGGAGGCAAACTATATTATGACTATGCATAACCTTACTAAGGCAATTGCCAAAATCAATGAGACTAAGGTGTCTATCTTGACAACCTCTTCATTCTTCCAGGGATTGACTGAACATTGGAAAAATGTTAATATTAATCTGATAGCCAAATTAACTAATCCTCATAATGCTATTACCCTGGTATTACTGTTTATAATAGTGATAATATTTTCTTGTGTTGTGAGATGCTTATGTACCCATGTAAAGGCCACCGAACAACAACAACAAAATAAAAAACAGCAATGCTGGGCTGAAGTCCTTGCAGCATACTCAGAGGGGGGGGGGAGATGTGGGGACAAGTGCATGGAGTACTGTATACATGGCATACACTAAGGGTGTCTGAGTGGCAGGTGACTCCCCTGGTGCTAGGCATGTGAGTGGCAAACCATTTACCCTGAAGGCACCGCCCTGGGCATGAGGCCATGGGTTGCAGTCCCTGTGCTTGCTCCACAGCCCACTCCTCAATTGGTTGCTGCAAGGGTAATTAGCAGAAATTGCATTGGTGGCTGCTTGTAACCTGCTTAGCTACTGCCTGAGTATATATACATGGTAACTGCAATAAAATCAGATCTGCTTCCTGCTTGGTCTCCAGAGGTCTTGATTAGTGACTCTGTAGCCACACTCTTTCTCTACACTGTTCTGTGGACCTCCTTGCTGGATGAGAGCTCACACAGGGAGGCTGAGGCAGGAGGATAATGAGTTCCAGGACAGCCTGAAACATTCAGCAGGATCCTGTTTTAAAAGAATAAAAACTGAAAAGAACTGGGATGTAGCTCAATGGTAAATCACCCATGTTTTCAATTCCCAATAGCACACTCATGCAAAAAATATCATATAGAATTATAATTTGTACATCATAAAATGTTATCATTTTACATGGAACATTGCCATGCTTTATGAGAAATAGAATTTTTCCATAATTGTGAAAAGTTCTCTCCCTCATTTTCACAGGTCCCAGGCAAACCATCGATTGGCCTTCTGTCACTATACACTGATTTTAATTTTACTTTTATGAGAATCTCACAGAAAGGGTCTCATACAGTTTTTCAGTCTTTCCTGTCTCACACAATCTTTCATGTATTATGTCACTCTATTTTCTTTGAATGCTGGTGATCAAATCCCAGGCCTTGAGCTTTCTATGCAAGCACCTACCACTGAACAACATCCCTAATCCAGTCCTCACACAAACATTTCTCAGAAGCACCCACATTTCAGGATTTCATTTTATGAATATATCACACTTTGTTTATTCATTCCCTGATCAAGGGACATTTTAAATACTTGAAAATCACACAAGAGACATGTGTTATTTTCAATGGTGGAGACTATGTTTAAAGCTGCTATGAATATATACATACAAGCTTCATGATGCACATTTTCATTTCTCTTGGATAAGTATGTAAAAGAGGGATTGCTGGGTCTTAATGTTTGTATGATTTTATAGGAAACCAAGACACTGCTTAACAAAACATTGAACCATTTTAGATCCCTGCTAGCCACATATGAGGAGTCCCCCCACAGCCTCACCAACAGGATTGTCAGTCTTTGTGGCAGTCAGCTATCTGTCACTGTCATAAAATACCTGAGATCACTGAGATAGAACTTGAAAGAAGAAAGATTTGTTTGGCTCAAGGTTTCTGAGGTTTCAGTGCATAGCTGCTTGGCCCTATTGCTTGGGCCTGTGACAGCACAGCATGTCACAGTGGGAGGACATGGTCAGGAAGCAGTTCACCTCACAGCAGCCAGGAATCCAAGTGACAGACAGGAAGGGCTGGTTTCCCAATGTCCATTTTTAGGGCACACTCCTGATAACCTAACCTCAACCTAACCTCCTCCCACTAGGGCTCATACACTGAAGATCCCATTCCTCCAGTAGCACCAGGGATTGGGGACCAAGGCTTTGACACATGGGCCATCAGGGGAGGCTTCAGGCCCAAACTATAGCAGTCTAATTCTTAAGCATTCTGTTGCTCAATGGTGTGTCATTGGGTTTTAAATTTACATTTTTCTTAAGGCTACTGACCCTGAGCATCTTTCTATGACACTCATATATCTTATTTATGTTGGTTTGTCTCTGTGTCTTCTATTTTTGTACCATTGGTCTACATGTCTATTTTGGTGCTAACACCATGCCATTTTTGTTACTATTGCTCTGTAATATAGTTTAAGGGTCTTATATTGTGGTGACTGCATGGCCCCTTCCCCAGACCCAATCCACTGGACACCCCAAAGAAGGAACTTTTGGAAACGACTGCGATGTTGCTTCAGATCCTGCTGCCAGTGCCTCGCTGGTGGTACTCTTCCAATTGCCACTCCTACAAGTGGGAGGAGCAGCTTTAGGTCCACACCTGATAGTCCTGGTGAGGTACATCCAGGAGAGAACATAACTGTGAGTAGCCCTGCAGAGCCCCACCACCTTGCTCCTCAGTAGGGGAGAACAGGGGCCTGAGGCAGGAATAGGTGGTGGGAGATTCTGAGCCTCCTGTCCTATCACGGTCACCCCCAGGACAGGGATAAAGGTGGGCAATGAAAGTGTCCACAGTACATCCTGGGCACCCAGTGTCATTTCCAGTCCTACAGGGTAGAAGCCTGAGATACAGGATCTGTATGAGGTCGGGGGAGCAGAAGGTCACAAGAGACACAAACACCCTAAATGGAGGCGAGCAGGGGCTGGGGCTCCCGGCCAGCTACCAGGCACTGTCTTCCATTTTTTCCACAGTTTACCCTCAACAAGGGCTGGAGCTGCAGCTTCAGCTCCAACTCCATGTGCAGGGAGGAATATCCAGAGCCAAGCACCACTGGGCAGGAGCTGGGCCTCAGGGTGAGTGCGGGACAGAGGGGACTCTACCTGCAGGGTACAGAGCAGAATAAAAGTGAATAAGAGCAAAGACACCACCAGGACCACCTTTCTGGTAGGGTTGGGAGGTAGAGGGGCAGAGTCCCCACCATGGGGAATCTGAACAACAAATCCTTGCCCATCCTTCCCACCCTCTCTGCCAGCCTCATTCTTGGACTCATCCAAGGTCCCTGTTCCCATAATTTTGACAACATCAGAACAATGACATGGACATTATTTCATTTCAATTTTCTGATGGTTTGTACTCTGCCATCCAACTGACTGTAACTCCAACACCCAGGTGTCCAGGTGACAATGGCCTGACGGTCCTTCCACACACTCTCCAAGTCTTACACAGCATCAGGATTACTAGGGCTGCGTTTAGCTGAAATATCACAAGGCTTGTGCCAATTGGTCCACTTCTCTGGTACTTGGGTCTCAAGGACACCAGGTCTCAAGGAAAGCAGGATCTGGGCCCCCAGGACCTCACCACCTTCCAGGGGGACCCAGGTTCCACAGCCATTCAGCCTTTCAGGGCTGTGGGAGCTGGACCTCATTCCCTCCTGGGACCATTTCAACAGCACCACAGAGAATGATGTCCTGGGTGTCCTCATACAGGGACCCTCCTGTCTGGGGTGAGTCTGTTTTCCCATCTCCAGAATGTGGTGTGCTGGTGGGACTTAGAGGATAACAACTGGCCTGATGCTGCTGTGTTTCTGACTATCCCCTCGGCAATTCCACTGTGAACTCTGCCAGCCATTGCTCTGCTGGGCTCTCCTGTTCCTCTGTGGGACAAGCCCCTATGAGCTTTGGCTATTGCACTGGACTCCATCCCCAGACACTTCTGGTGGGTCACTTTGGCACTGACTCTGTTTCCTCAATGTCCCAACCAAGAAGGTGGCTACAGAAGGGATGATACCAGCAATGGATATGTGTTCCAGGAATACTCCCTGGGGGACCTGGAGGACACCCTGGAGCCTGCCTTCTTTTATGATTCATTCTCTTCGGCCTCAACTATCTCAAGTTCCTCCATACAACAAGAGGTGTACCAAATGTTGGGAAGGTAAGCCCTGCCCAGGGTGACAGGGTCACATACAGCTCTGAGTCCGGGAACTGGCCCTGGGCCTCTCTGAGCTTCAGCCCTCTCCTCTGAACTGTGGGGTGCCAAGATCACTGACTCATGGTAGGAAAGGCCAGGCCTCTATACTGCTGCCCCCATCCCTGTTGGCTAGTCTCCTCACCCCTCACTTGCATTTGCCTCACTACCCACTTGGTAATGTCCACAGCCAGGTCACTCTCACATGCCCCGAGGTGGAGGACCAAGGACACCAGGTCCCAGCCTTGACAGAGAACCTGGAGCCCATGGAGGAACAGGCTGAAGGTGAGGAGGACTGAGGTGGGGTATGAGTATGTCAGAATGGGACAGGGTGGGACAAGCAGAGCATACTGCACAGGAACTAGGGCAGGGCAGGAACAATGAGAGGCAGAGCTGTCATTGTCTGTGTGCATTCTGGGAATGCTGCCTGGGGTTGGGTTTGTGCATGGAATTGTATGAAAGGCAGTAGGGAATATTCTCTTCCTGGACCTAACATGGATAGTCTATGGACCTTTACTCCTCTAGCCGCTCTGGTGCTTGTGGAAGCTTCCGTTCGAGGTCCACCACCTCCACCATCTGATAGAGAACTGGAGCTGGATGAACCTGCAGTGGACTATCAAGGCCAACACCCCCTGCTGGCCCTTCAGTCAGCACTGCATCTAGTGAGGAACCCACATCCTCTGTTCTTCTCCCAGATCATTTGGTTATTCGTTTTTATTGTTTGTATTTATTATTTTAGTATTATTTAAAATTAAAGACTTGTTTTCATTGTTAAAATTCTCAGTTATGTGCCATCAAGTGCCTTCTCTAAATTGTGCACTAGTCACCACTATGGAGTTCCGGAACATTTTCCGGAATTTGCTATCCATGACCACTGCCTCCCCACCCTCCCTCTATTCCCCAGCGACCCTTAGTTTTCTAGTCCTGCGATATGCTGAGTCTGCATTTTTCAAACCAGTGCAGTCTGATTTCTTCTGGGCTGTGTAATGTTGGAAGGGACTAATTATGTTTCCTTAGAAGGGCAAATGCCATACAGGTCAACGTTTTTTATGTTTTTATTTTTATTTTTTGTTACTGGGCTGGAACCCAGGGGCACTTTACCACTGAGCTACATCCATGGTCTTTTCCTTTTTCATTTTGAGTCAGCCTCTTGCTGGTTTGCTGTGGCTGCCCTAAACTTAAACCCTTTGCCTCAAAGCAGTGTTATTTGGAAATTAAAAAAAATACTACTACTACTACTACTAATGTCCAATGCCTGGAGAAAAGATAAATCTGCTTTGTAACAAGGAACACATCCAGCAGGCAAAACCAAAAATGTCCAGC